TCTCTCTCTCTCTCTCTCTCTCTCTCTCTCTCTCTCTCTCTGTCTTTTAAAATAAATTAATTGGGGCACCTGGGTGACTCGGTCGGTTGAGAGTCCGACTTCAGCTCAGGTCATGATCTCACAGTTTGTGAGTTTAAGCCCTGCATCGGGCTTCATGATTACAGCCAGAGCCTGCTTGGGACTCTCTTTCTCTCTTCCTCCCTCTCTCTCTGTCCCTCTCTTGCTTACTCTTTCTGTCTCTCCAAATAAATAAAAATAAACCTAACAAAAAAAGTAAGTTCAAATGTTTTTAAATACAAAAATGATACATGGATTTGCTAATGCCTTCTGGAAACAATAAAGTACAATAAACAGTTCAGAAGGCACAATTCTTTGGGGCTTCCTCTGGGCTCTGCCTCCCACCCCATAGGGGATATCGTACAGGTGCAGCCCCATCTGACTCACTGTGAGTCACTCACGGTGCAGTAATACACAGCAGTGTCTCTCAGGGCAGCCCGGGGCAGGCTCAGGGTGCTGGACGTCCTGTCCGCAGAGATGAACAGGGATGCCACTTCATTTTCCACGTTTGTCTTATATCCTTGAATAACAAATTGTGGTCCCTGGTTGGGGAACTGTCGGTACCAGTGGATATACTCATTTGTAGCGATCTTGGTGTGGTTACAGGGTATGTTCACTTCTTGTCCTTCGTAGGACTCGATGAATACGGGCTGGGTGGTCTTAGCGAGGCTCAAAGTACCTGTAAAAGGAGTCAACACACAATACTAGCTCCTATCCTGAAACTGGGTGGATTGAAGGTCCAACTCGGCACCTCCAGGTTCTCTCTCACAGTCAAACCCACCCCCACATCCTCCTTCCCCACCATATGCAGACACATACAATTTCCTTCCCATTTGTGTTTTAGGACACTTTTTAAAAATATTTATTTTGAGAACCCCAGGAACATATGTACAAAAGTAACAGGGGCAATATCTCCCACCCATGGAGGGGTAATATTTCCCAGGGCTCAGTAATCCAGAACATCTTTATTGCCCTGAGTCACCCCTTGCATGAATGGTGAGGTTCTACCTAGAGAAACACAGGACCCCACAGCCAGTCCTTGACATCTTAGGTAAAGAGCAATGATAACAGGCAAGAAAGAGTCCAGCGTCTAGTCCCAGCCACACCCTAATTCCTTTTAATCCCAAAATAACTCACCCAAGAGCAAGAGCACAGTCACTCTTGTCACCTGCCTCATATCCTAGGTCTAAACCCGGCCCTGGGGTCGCGGTCCTGTTGCAGAGTCTGAGACTGGCCTGGGACACGAACCAGAAAAGAGGCACAGCAGGAAAGCCAGAGCCACACTAGCAGCTGTCACCCAGGGCTGTCCCCAGCAGCTGTCATCTAGGGCTGTCCCCAGCAGGTATCACCTGGGGCTGTCTCCAGCATAAGCCAATAGCACCGACAGCACCTCCCCAGATGAGCTTCCCCCTAAGGTTCAACTGAACACTCAGGAAGAAGAATAAAAGGTAAAAGCTTCCAGCACAACAGCACAGCAACCCCGATTTCCTTTTCGTTCTTTGCGAAGGTATAACCCCTTGTAGATTTGGTCTGAAGGAAGCTAATATATCAGAGGGTAGATTCCACCAGGTTCCTTATTCCCCATCACATCACTTTTCCCACAGTCCCAGAAGACGGCCATTGATTGTAGTCAGTGTGATACTCATAAAGCTGAGAATGACCCCTGACCTGGTCCTATATGCCTGGAATCCTCCCCATTCGTCCTATGCAACCAGATGAACGGGAAATGCTAATCTTATTCCACAAAAGAGCCCATGAGCTTGTCTGAACTGGACATTTCCTCTCCTGACACCCTGGTGTCCTTTTATAATCTCACTAAGTCCACATCTAACAACTGCGTCTCAGACTTCACTTAACAATTGTTGCACAGAGGAGGAGACCCCTCACTGGTCCCTACTGACCAGCTGGCCTAGGACATTTGATGCCAAATCATTCACCCAACCAGAGAGGAAGTGAGGTGATGAAGAAGAAAAGGCACTCAAATTCAGAGTCAGACAGACTTAATTTCAAGTCCTAGTTCTGCCATCTTTTGACCTTGAGCAACTTCCCTGGTCTGAACTTCAATTTCTTCATGCCCTTCCTTCTCATCTGAATCAGTGAAAGTAGTTGTGCAGGATTATATACGTTTTTTTATAATAAATATATATAAATATATATATATAAAACATATATATGTTTTTTTTAATTTTATTTAAATCCCAGTTTGTCAACTTATAGTGTAAGAATGGTTTCAGGAGTAGAACCCAGTGATTCATTACTTACATATAACACCCATTGCTCATCCCAACAAGTGTCCTCCTTAATACCCGTCACCCATTTAATGCATCCCTCCCACCCAACACCCCTCCAGCAACCCTCAGTTTGCTCTCTGTATCTAAAAATCTCTTATTGGTTTGCCTCCCTCTGTTTTTGTCTTACTTTTCCTTCCCTTCCCCTATGTTCATCTGTTTTATTTCTTAAATTCCACATATGAGTGAAATCATATGGTATTTGTCTTTCTCTGACTAACTTTTTCACCTATGTCAAATCTTTATCCATTCATCAGTCAATGGACACTGGGTCTCTTTCCACACGTTAGCTATTGCTGACAGTGCTGCTATCAACATTGGGGTATGCACCCCTTCGAATCAGCATTTTTGTATCTTTTGAATAAATACCTAATAGCACAATTGCTGGGTTGTAAGGCAGCTTCATTTTTAATTTTTTGAGGAATCTCCATGCTGTTGTTCAGAGTGGCTGCGCCAGTTTGCATCCCCGCCAATAGTGCCCAAGTGCTCCCCTTTCTCTACATCCTTGCCAACATCTGTTGTTTCCTGAGTTGTTAATTTTAGCCATTCTGACAGATGTGAGGTGAGAGCTCATTGTGGTTGTGATATGTATTTCGCTGATGATGAGTGATGTCGAGCATCTTTTCATGTGTCTGTTAGCCATCTGCATGTCCTCTTTGGAGAAGTGTCTGTCCACATTTTTGCCCCTTTTCTACGCTGGATTATTTGGAGGGGGGTGTTGAGTTTGATAAGTTCTTTATAGATTTTGGATACTAACCTTTATCTGCTATGTCAGTGCAAATATCCTCTCCCATTCCATCGCTTGCCTTTTAGTTTTGTTGATTATTTCCTCTGCTGTGCAGAAGCTTTTTATCTTCATGAGGTCCCAAGACTTCATTTTTGCTTTTATTACACATGATTTTTTAAAATAATGCCATTCACTCTTCCATCAAGACATATCCAATATAAATTCAATAATAGTAATAACTCACGCACATACAACCCAACAACAACAAACACCATTTAGGAAAAGAGACAAATCCTCAAAACACCTAATGTTAATGGAATCTGCCAACTACAATAATCAAAACATACTAGATACTCACATTAATGTGGTGTGATTCCTTGGCTCATACAATATGCAAATGGAAAATCACTAGAAAATATTTAGGAGGTGACTTTTAGGTCTAGAATTGTCCAATTTGTTCTGAGTGAACAATTTTTCCATTTCCTCAAGTAAACATTAGTGAATGCGGATGACTTCTAGTGACATTTTAGATATCACAAGTCATGAATAAATTACCAACTTGCCCGCAGTAGCAAATGGAGGAGAAAAGAAGTATTTCAGGGGAAGCTAAAGACTCTAGAACACCTTGTACATAAATAAAGCAAAATAGAGTCAACTAATTACAACAGCGACCCCAAGTGGTCACTATACCTGGACAGAAGAAATGTTTCTCAAAAGTCAGTATGTCTCAGACCCAGCAATTTATGGAAATTATAATCTTTGTTAAACAGAGTAGCAAGTGGTTGGGCTTGGTCACATGGACTATGGAGTATATTTTGTGCAAAGGAAAAAAAGACCCTGAATGAGGATTTAGACAAAGAGGATTGTAAGTGATTCTCAGGACTTGCTAGTTGTGTATTTAGTGCAAAGCATTTGTTCTCTTCATCTCTATGAGAGAGATTAAAAGATCAATTAAGTATGCATAAGAAAATTCTCTCTAAGCCTTAATGTTCTATACAAATGCAAACTATGTTTAACATAGGAAATCACAAGAAAAATGATCTTACTGTTCAGGTCGACAAATGTAACTTGATATCTCTGTGTTGCTATCTATTATCTTGTTCTGGAAGAACGTTACTGGATATCAAGCAAGTAGAGAAAGAAACACTAGTTTTCCCATGTATCAGTCTTTAGAATGAAAGTAATTGTTAATGGCTGTGGTGTTATGGGTTGAACTGTGCCCCCCCCCCCCAACACGCACCAACGGAGCGGGGTGGGGGGGGACTTGGAGTCTTAATCTCTAGCAAATTAGAATATGACCTTATTTAGACAAATTGTCTTTACAGAAATAATGAAGTTATATGAGGTTATTTGAAGGGAATTTAATCCAACATGATTAGTATCTTTTAAAAAAAGGAAATTTGGGAACTCCAGGGAGGCTCAGGTGGTTCAAGTGTCTGACTCTCTATTTCGGCTCAAATCATAATCTCATGGCCTTCAGATCAAGCCCTGCACCAGAATCTGCACTGACAACATGTAGCCTTCTTGGAATTCTCTCTCTGCCTCTCTCTCTGCCACTCCCCTGCTCTCTGTCTCTATCTCTCCAGAAAAAGAAGGAGAAGAAGAAGAAGAAGAAGAAGAAGAAGAAGAAGAAGAAGGAGGAGGAGGAGGAGGAGGAGGAGGAGGAGGAGGAGGAGGAGAGTGGGAATTCTTAGTTACAAAAGTTAGGTAAAGGAAAATATAAATATTCACTACTGGAGCCTCCAGCTGACTTGACCCTAACAGATTCCTACTCTCACTCCACTGTAGTAATCATCTCTGTCATATTAGCATAGCCCCAACCTTCCTCAACCTCATCCAGTGATGGACTGATGGAAATCTCAACTCCATCTTTTTGAGATGATGTTAAAATGAAAGAGCTGAGTAAATGACAGAAGCATTCACTAAAAATTCTCCCTGTGCTTGGTGATTTTATTTTATCACATTTTCCTCAGTCGCTTCCTCTAATATTAACCTTCCTCTTTCCATTCAGTTTTTCAAATAGGCACACACACAGATGGAATTATCTAGGATCTTAAGGAAAGTTCCTCAGTTAGGGTGAAGCTTAGAGTGTCCCTAGTGGATTACAACCATCGGCGTAGACTGTCATAGTACTCTCCTCTCTGGTCACAAGTCAAATGGCAATCGCAGCACAAAACCCATCCCTGCCACTGTCCCATCCAAAGTGATTCTCTGAGCAAGTTCCAGTCTCCAGTCTGTTGGTGACATTGTGTTTGGTTTTTTTTTTTGTTTTTTTCATAAGTTGTCCTTTCCTCATGAATCCTGACTCTTGGAAGATTAGAACCATGTCTGCACAAGAACTAAGCAGTTTAGTCCCTCTGTCCATCTTGTCACCATAGAACATAAGGTCTCACTGAAAGTGCCCCAGGTTGATCCCTTGAGTCACTGGAAGCCTCACATTCACCAGAAGTTGGTGTTTAGCATCCCCTGCAGTCCCAGGCGCTGTGTCACTCACAGCACAGAAGTACTTGGCTGCGTCGCTCCACTGGACTGCGGGTTTCCTCAGGTGGAAGGCCTTTTCACTCTTCCTAAATTCAGCCTTGAAACCTTTGGTGCCTTTCACCAGGATGTCCCCTGATATGTACTTGAAGAGAAGCCGGAGTCCTTGGTTGGGGTGCTGCACGTACCAGAAGAGATACACCTGAACAGAAGACGAGTAGTTGCACCTCAGCTCCAGAGGGGCTCCTTCAGAGACAGTGATGTGGACATCAGGCTGGGTCACTGACTGGGCTCCGGTTCCTCCTGAAACATCAATATGCTGAGTCAGTGAGACCAGGAAAGACTTACCGATTAAGAAGAGGTGTCTCACCTCAGAGTCCAGTTGTAATACTGTACCGGTAGGGAACAAGAAGATGAAATAGAATTTTACTCACTCGGGGCAAAAAGTATCATAAACACAAGCATGGTGACAGGAGCCAAGCTCATGGCTGAGGACGGAAGAAACTGTAGTCTCCTTTTTGAAGATCTTTCCTGAGCAAGAAGGAGTATGGTTGAGGAAACAGTACCCTTGGAACAAGGAAGAATGTGTATGGTGGGTGCCCTAGAATCTTGTGTAATTGCGTTCCAGAGACGTCTGGAAGAGTCTTTTCCTTGAAAACCTGGGTGTTTCCTGACTTCTAAATTCTGTGAAGAGCTCCATCTGGACTCTTCAGTCGGCTCTGTGAAGGAGTAGCTAAAGGAAGGATGGTTGGGAGGGAGGGAGATCTTCAAGTATAATTCTAGTGTGTGCATCATTGCCCTCTGGAGGCCAAGCAGAAGTAGTTCTTCTGGTGAGCCTTGTCATGCCTTTTACTCTTTCAGGCACCATTGGAGAGGGATGTAGAAGAAGGCCGAGCAAACTTCTAATGTCAGGTAACTCAGGAACATTCTTCCCTTTCACCTGAAACCATGCATAGTAACAATCCCCACAGATGCACAATTTTCTCATGACTGCAGAGACGTGATGTGATTTGTGACTTTTCTGACATTTCCTCCTTCTGTAATATGTGAGTATGTGACCCTCCAAGGTCCATACTGTTCATCTCAGGTATGAAGACACATAAGAAGAGAGAAACTAACAGCCTTCAAAGAAAAATTGATTAGGCGAGAACAGTAGTCATCTCAGTCATTGTCCATAACAAGATTACATGGAAAACATCTAATAGTCCTTAGGGCAAAAGAATCAGGCCGATTGACCCAGGTTCAGTTTTGTTTATGGAGCTATTGACAGGTTGAAATTGAGCATCGTGACAATTAAAACATATAAAAAATTACCTATCTGTTGCTAAAAGAAGAAAATAGGAAAGAAAAGTGCCAGGATTCCCCTTAACATCCCACAAAATCAATTCCAGAAAGGTAAGGCCATTTTAGCAGGATATGTAATAAAAACTGGGAGTTTTAAGCCAACAGGTGATAAAAAGTAAAAAAAGAAGGTAGGTTCTTCTCAGTAGATAAGAAATTAAAAGAATATAAACAATGAGAAAATGAAAGTATATTGCTCTGGCACACCTGGGTGGTTCAGTCGGTCAAGAGTCCGACTCTTGATCTCGGCTCAGGTCATGATCTCATGGCTCGTGAGATCAATCCCTGCATCGGGCTCGGCACTGACAGCAGAGAGCCTGCTTGGGACTCTCTCTCTCTCTGCTCAAAATAAATAAATAAATAAACTTAAAAGAGAGAGAGAGAGAGAGGCATCAAGTCCAGTCCCTCAAGGGTGTATGTAAGATGTGAGCAGAGGAGCCAAAAGCAGCCTGCATGTTTAAACTACATGTTTAAATTCTCCCTTGATTCAAATTCTCCTTGCACTATAGCTTCACCCTCTCCTTCCTTCACAGCAGAGCTAACCTGCTCCCTTCCTCATCGCACATCACATGTTGTGCCATCCTCTATCTTGGCACTTGCCAAACTGTTCTGAGTCGCTGTTGGTTCACTCTACAGCCAACAGCACTCTTTTTGGCAGGAACCATCCAGGGAGTTGGGGCTGCCCCATCGCCGAAATCAGTCTCATGCCCTCAGAGAGCCTTGAGGCTGGCAGAGCAGGGGAGCGGTTAGACCGGGCACCTGAGAGACAGACTGCCTGGGTTGCAACTCACCATTTCACGGTTTTGTGACTTGAGTGAGAACTTAAGTTCTCTGGGCCTTAGTCTCTTCACCGGCAAAGTAAACCTCATGCTAACAGTTGTGAGAATTACACTGGGTTCGTAAATGTTTGGGGATCACATGGGGCACATAGAAAGCAAAGATAGCTTCTTACATCTATTTGTCATCAGTGCTCAGTACAGTACCGAGCACATAAGGATTCATAAATATCTGTCCCATGAACAAATTCTGTGGCTTGAAATTGTAATTTAGTTATGATGAGTGACATATCCTAGAGCCACACCACCTTCTGTGGAGAGCCATACAGGCTTCAGGAAAACAGTTTCACTGTGGTACTCGGGGGTTTGTGCTCAGCTCCGCCTCCAGCCCCCACCACTGTGTCTGTCACCGCACAGAAATACACAGCAGAGTCACTCCCAAGGACGGATGGTTTCTTCAGGTGGAAAGAGGTTTGGCTCTTATTAAATTCAGCCTCAAAACCGTAGTTGCCTTTGACCAGGTTGGCCCCTGTGATGTATTTCAGAAGGAACCGGAGACCTTGGTTGCGATGTTGGATGTACCAAAAGAGATACAGGCTTCCAGAAACCGAATAGTTGCATTTCACAGTCACTGGATCCCCTTCAGCAACAGTGACCTGATCTGGCTGAGACACCGACTGAGCTCTCAGCCCACCTGTAAATGAATCCACACTCCATCAGTGAAGCTGCTGTAAAGCATGTAAGTGGGTAATACAAGTGGAAAATGGGGAAGGCATATTACTCACTCAGTGTGAAGACAATCGCAAGCATCGAGATGCATGTAGAGGCCATGGTTTAAGCCGCGCTGGCTGGGGACTCCTTTCCGGCCCACCCCAGCTGGAGATTAAGTCCCACCCCAGAGAACAGGCTCTCAAAGAGGGATCAGCACCCTTTTGTCAGGGCAGAGTTTTAATAAATGGCTCTGCTTTGGGGAACCTGTTGTTTCCTGGCACCTGTGTCTTTCTGTTGAGCAAGCTCTTGGCCCAGATTCTGCAAAGCTAGGTGAGGAAGCCAGACTGCTATTCCTCTTGCACCTGGAACAAGCCTCACACTACATCGCCCCCTAGTGCCCACACACAGACCCGGGTGACTTAAAAAAATTTTTTTTTAGTGTTTATTTATTTTTGAGAGAGAGAAGGACAGAGCACAATCTGGGGAGGGGCAGAAGAGAAAGGGAGACACAGAATCCGGAGCAGGCTCCAGGCTCTGAGCTGTCAGCACAGAGCCGATGTGGGGCTCAAACTCAGGAACCGTGAGATCATGACCTGAGCCGAAGTCCGACACTTAACCCGCTGAGCTACCTAGGCGCCCCAGAGCCTGGTAACTTTATCATCAAGTAGCTGGAGTTTCCAAGTCTTACCATCATAGGGCCAGAATTCTGGATGTTTACACTTTCCATGAGCCACAAAGGGAGAATTTGCTGTTCAAGGAAAAGAAGCAGGAGTCTGTGAATCAAAGTGGAAAAAACACATGTCGAGTGGATCAAGGTTTCACTGGTTTGTGCTCTATTTAGATAACATAAAAGACAGAAGGGAAGTAGAATTTTTTTAATAGGATGGGAAAATAAATAGAAAAGAGGAGGAAAAGCATAGCTTTGGGTGAAAAGGGAAAGAAAAAGAAAAATGAGTGATAAGAAAAGGCAAAATAGGAGAAGAAGGTAAGAGAAGAGAAATCAGAGAGGAAGAGAACCTTGTTCTCTTCAGAAATAAATTAGAGCCAGCTTCTATATAAACCCTTTGGACTGAAAAATAATTGTTTTGTTTTCTAGGTTGGGCCTGTGGGAGAACCCTCCCCATAATGACCTTTAAGTAAAGATTCATACAAAATGAACTTGAACCCAGCCTTTAAATATTTTTAAGGAGAGAAAAGGAAGGGATGGTATTATATGCTCCTCCTGACACAGTTGTCCTGTTAAATAGTAGATTATAAAGACAAAAGGAAAAGCCCTCTGTGAAGGAGCTGAAAAATAGAGATTTTCCACGCGGGGAGGCTGTTTAGAACAAAGTTCAAAACTTGATGGTTAAGTAAGCTTGAGGTACTATGATGATAAAGGGCTCATTTCAAGGGGAGTAAAGTGTTGTACTTAAAAAATGCCACAATAGTGGCAGAGCAATTGTTCAATAACCTTTATTGAAATGAAACAAGTAAGTATCAATATAAAGACATCATTCCTCTGATATGCCTTATTTTTCCTTTAAATAATGTCCAGGAGCATTGGTGGCTCAGTTGGTTAAGCCTCTGAACTTGGCTCAGATCATGACCTCACAGCTCAGCTGGTGAGTTTGAGAGTTTGAGCCCCAAATCAGGCTCTGTGCTGACAGCTCGGAGACTGGAGCCTGCTTTGGATTCTGTGTCTCCCTCTCTCTCTCTGCCCCTCCCCTGCTCGCTCGCTCTCTCTCTTTCTCAAAAATAAACATTAAAAATAATAATGTCCAAATAAGCCATATATTTTAGAAAGAGATTAGAAAATCTCTGCTTTGAATCAGAAGAAAAGCGGATCATAGCTGTTTCTGAAAGCTTTGCTAAGTATCTCGTACATAAATGGTTGAAACCTTAACACTATGATAATGTCTTTCTTTGGAATATGTAAATTAGCTTTAAGTACTCATCCTCAAGCCACAGGAGGCCTGTGATGAATAGGAACCTATAATAAATTCCTTCTCTTTCTGCCTAGCGCCTAAGAGGAGTGTTAGCCTTGCATCTTTGAGGGCCCTGGCAATCACCTCAAGAGGATATCTGGAACAAAGTTTAATGAAAAGGATATTTTAAACTTTTTGTGGGCAGATTTAAGGGAAACGTGGAAGAGAAGGTGAAGCACCCAGGGCCTAGCAACAGCCAGAAGACTGAACCACTTGTAGGCCTGAAGGGAAGGAGAAGGAAGAAATTACCGTGACCTGGGGACACCTGCGAATGAGGGCAACTACGACCCAGCAGGACCTATGGGCTGGAGTACAAGGAAGAAGATGTGGCCCACAGCAATGTCAAGGAGCTTCAGTCCGAGATCCCAGGTACTTCTTTCAGACTGCCTACTGCCTTTCCCGTTAAACTATTTATAAACATCAGAATGCTGTAAATGTCACTGATTTCCCAGGAGACAACAAGAGAGGATTCATGTAAAATAATGAGAAAGCCCTTTGCAAACATCAGACTCTGCAATGTAGGTTATATTCATGATAGAAGTATCAGAGAAAAATCAGCACAAGATAAAGTTACTGGAACAAAAAGGAAAATCGGTGGTTTTTTTCATATGAAACATGGGATTCAATCCAACTAAGAAAATAATACTTATTTCACATAAATTAGGGAACTCTCAGAAGAAAGGGGGGAAATCCGTGATTTAACTTCTCTCCTTCCAATAGAGGACACCATAAATCATTGACCCTCCTCATCTCCATGGACTGAAGAGATTTTCTACTTTCTTTGGGCCCAGTACTTTCCCTCACCTGGACCCAGTTTCCTTACTGATTCCTTTTAGTTTAATGATAGCTCAAGCTACACTTGAGGTGTGTTGTAAGTTCTAGGAATTGTATTTTTAAAGAAATACAAGCCAACCAGAAACTGTTTGAGGTGTACAATAGAGAGAGAAATAAAAAATGTGGCATACCAGGCCCCTGGCTGGTTCAGTTGGTAGAGCATGTGACTCTTAATCTCAGGGTTGTGAGTTCAAGCCCCATGTTAGGTACAGAGATTACTTAAAAAGAAAATCTTTAAAAAAATGTTTTTTAAATAATTGGTTTTTTTAAATGTTGCATACATATAATAAACGGTTAGGAAAACAAATATTTACTATGGAAAAAAAACTGCTCGGTGGTAATGTGAAATCTGGTAAAAAATTTATAAAGGAGACATGTGGGGGCACCTGGGTGGCTCCGTCAGTTGGACGTCCGACTTCAGCTCAGATCATGATCTCACAGTTTGTGAGTTCGAGCTCCTTGTCGGGCTCTGTGCTAACAGTGCAGACCCTGGAGCCTGCTTTGAGTTCCGTGTCTCCCTCTGCCCCACCCCCTGCTCATACTCTGTCTCTAGCTCTCTCAAAAATAAATAAACATTGAGGTGTCTGGGTGGCTCAGTTGGTTGAGCGTCTGACTTTGGCTCAGGTCATAATCTCACAGTCTATGGGTTCAAGCCCCACGTCAGGCTCCGTGCTGACAGCTCAGAGCCTGGAGCCTGCTTCGCATTCTGTGTCTCCCTCTCTCTCTGCCCCTCCCCCCCCCCATGCTCTGTGTCTCTCTCTGTCAAAAATAAATAAAACATTTTTAGAATTTTTTTTTATTTTTTAAAAATTTTTTAATGTTTTTATTTTATTTTATTTTTGAGACAGAGAGAGACAGCGTGTGAGTGGGGGAGGGGTAGAGAGAGAGGGAGACAGAATCTGAAGTAGGCTCCAGGCTCTGACCTGTCAGCGCAGAGCCTGACGTGGGGCTTGAACTCACAGACTGAGAGATCATGACCTGAGCCAAAGGGATGCCCAACTGACTGAGCCAACCAGGCACCCCCCCAAAAAATTTTTTTAAATAAACATTAAAAAAAAAAAAGGAAACCTGTAAACTGTTCCAGGTCCCCAAAAGTATAGAAGCCACAGGAGCACAGTGTGTTTGCTTCAAGCTTCTGGTGTTTGCGGACCACTGTTGGTGTTCCTGGGCTCATAGATGTATCACCGCAGTCACTTGGCCATGTCTCTATGTCTCTTCACATTGTCTCCCATCTGTACGTGTCTGTCTCTGTGTCCAAATTTCCCCTGATTCTAAGGACAGCAGTCATATTGGACTAAAGCCCATCCTCATGACTTCATTTTAACTCTACTGCCTCTAGACCTATTTCTGAGTAAGGTCACATTCTGAGGCACAGGAAGCTACGACTTCAACATATCTTTTTTAGGGGAACACAGTTCAACCCATGACACTAACCCTTGGAAGAAAACGAAAGCTACTCAGCATTCCGATCCCCACTCATCCTCTTTAGTGCCCTGATCCTCAGACGTGCAGGAAAATCCCCCAGATAGGTCTGTGACCTTACCCACAAGAAGAATAGAAAACAGTGAGGTTAGAGAAGGCAGGGCCCATTGGAGGAAGGCAGGATAAGTCCTAATCTGAGAGTGATTTAAAGTCTTAGGTCTCTCATGGAACCAGTGGCAGACCCATACCCCTCTGAGGCAATCCTCACATATTGAAGAGCCAAGATACCGCCCCCAAGAAAAGTTTACCACTAGTGCCGACACAGCCAGCAGCTGACAGAGCAGACCAATCCAGAGAAAGGCTTCACACGGCTCCATGCCACCGGCATTGGCCTGTCAGGTAAGCTTTTCAGCTTTGCCCCCCCATGTTTATTCTCAGAATCCCCACAACAACTTTTTCACCTAGGAATTTTTCTTTTGTTTTGTTTTTATGGGAAGTAAACAACATCAACAACAAAAGATGGCAATCTTTACATGCATGCAAATCTCCAGAGTTTGAGAGTAAAGGGAATTGTACTCTCCTGTGGATTCTTCTGTTTTTTCCTCTTCACCATCAAACTGAATGAGAGCTTCATGATGTTATTCCTTTGGGGTTGAACTATCACTGCCATTGTCAAAGTATTCCTCTCCCCTCAGCTGCATTTTCTTCTTCTTTTATTTCATTCTCTTCCCACTTTCCCCTTTGGGTAATAATGCCTCTGATGGTTTACAAGTGAGCTGGAAAAAATCCGTAGGAAGACTAGTTGTTGATGGTTTAAACACTAGAATCAAGGGGCGCCTGGGTGGTTCAGTCAGTTAAGCTTCCGACTCTTGATTTCAGCTCAGGTCATGATCTCACAGTTTATGAGTTCAAGCCCCAAATCAGGCTCTGCACTGACAGCACAGAGCCTGCTTGGGATTCTGTCTCCCTCTGTCTCTGCCCCTACCCCACTTGTGCTCTCTCTCTCTCTCTCTCTCTCTCTCTCTCTCAAAACATGGAAGTATATAACTTTTAAAAACTAAAAAAAAAAAACAATAGAGTCAAAACACCAATATAAAAGGTAGGGTTTTCAATACACCACACATATACTCTTCAGTGAACTGAAAAGAACCTCCTATATGACCAAAGGGAATTTTCTGTCTCTTTCCTTGTTTGCCAAAGCAATGAGAGGGCTATACACTTATTCACTATTTCTTGAGCAACAACAGTATACATGGCACTGTGCAGGACTCTTAAGAACACATGGTTCTTCTTCCCAAATATTTTGTTTGGTTAAAAACATAAGACAACACCCTTTTAAACAAGCAATCACTGAAAATAGAATATGCCTAAAGAAGTGTTACTAACAATATGTTAGTAACAATATGCCAATTCATATTCGTATCCAATGGTGATATTTAGGTGTCATTAAATTTTGGGGTTCGGATCCAAGCTATTTAAGACATCTTGGTAAAACTTTATGATATTTCGGGGCGCCTGGGTGGCTCAGTCGGTTGAGCATCCGACCTCGGCTCAGGTCATGATCTCACAGTCTGTGAATTCAAGCCCCGCATCGGGCTCTGTGCTGATGGCTCAGAGCCTGGAGCCTGCTCCGGATTCTGTGTCTCCCTCTCTCTCTGCCCCTTCCCTGCTCATGCTCTGTCTCTCTCTGTCTCAAAAATAAAAT